TGTTGGAGATCTATGCAGACTCTTCCCACCAAGATCTCGGAATGATATGTTATGTGGCTCCCCATTAATACTTCACTGTGTGCATGTTGGAAATCTATGCAGACTCTTCCCACCAAGATCTCGGAACGATATGTTATGTGACTCCCCATTAATACTTCACTGTGTGTTAGCTCATTGGTTAAGAAGGTCGCCAAAGAGAGCATGACAGAGAGATTGGAAATTTGGAATGTCCTATTACATTCCAACAGGTGGTTTTGTTAATTGTTTGAATTGAGCATGCCACTGTCAGAGATTTCACTATAAGTTGAAAGTGTTAAACAGGTATATACAAATATTATATTTAATGAAGCTTCAAAGTACATGCTCTGTAGTCGTTACAATTTTAAGGTTAAACTGTCAACAACACTACACAATGACATCATCAACTTTACTATACATAATTAGAATTATAAAACCTAAAAAAATTATAACAACTAAATACCATTTAATAAATTTGCACTATATCTTCATGCAATTTGGTTAATTATTTCCGTTAAGAAAAGGAAAAAAAAATCAGGATTTATCAGTAACACCCCTCCAGTCCAAAAATGATTAACATAAACAGACTATTTTATACCAACACATACTTGCCCATTCTTTAAGCCAACAAGTAATCCTTCTTTCCCTTGTGGACCACCTGTAACTTTGATATATCGGATAGCTGCCTCCATTATCCACTCTCGTTCTTTCACTCCCTGGAAAGACAAACACTGGAGCACCTTCTCCTATAGATCAAAACAGAGAGGGAGAATGTTTGAGTGAAATTTAATTCTACAGAAAAAAAAAGTTGTTTTCATTTTGTTAGAAATAAATATGTGGAATTCCTCATACACTGTTACAGCTATCACTACAAAATCATGTGAACTAGACAACCACAGGATTTAAACTCGACACTATAAAACGATCAGCAACAAAACACACTTAATATACACTTGGCAAATGAAACGAACTTAAATAAAATACTACAAGAAATATTAGTACTGTATGGTAGATAATTATTTTCTGAAACAAAGTTATTACAACGACAAAGATTACATATGCCTTATTTTGAAATGTATTTACTTCCCTAACAATAATTCCAAAACTCTGAAGAATGATAAACATACTAATTTAATAAACAACATAAATTAGTTTTGAATAAATCTTTCAGACCTTTCAACTGTTTTCTTCATCTCATACTTTGCTTACTTATAAAAGAAGTGTTTTTACTCATATAAATATACTCAAGAGAAACATTTCATCATTTTTTTATCAAATAAAATTCATAAATTCCCAGTTACAGAAAAAATATTACTGTGTTTTATAAAAGTTTTACATGCATTACTTTTCATCATAAAAAGTACAGAGAAAAACTGATAAGAGAGATATCAGAAATATTCATATGTCACAACAAGGAAATTATACTGTTCATACAAGAGAAACTTTGAAGGTGAAAAGGAATTTAAAATCTTTAGATTTCTTTTTCAAGCTATTGTGTTTAGTACAGTCCTTGCAATTAGTGGCAATACATGACAAAGTCATTGGGAAAAGCTGTGGCATTTTATGAAAATGAAAAAAAACTCTAAATTATTATTTGTGTAAATAATATCAAAGATTAAGGTTTTATAGAAAAATAAAATTTCTCATTAATAACTAGAATATTTAATTATGTAATAATTTCACGTTGCCTAAGTTGAAATTTCAATTACGCCTGAATTAAGCAGATTACTGTAATAATCCAAAGCGAACGTCACATTTGTAAAAGTTCATACTATAGTTTTGAGCATGTAGGTCTATCTAACGTTGTACATTTGCTGTTATATTAAAGTTTTTCTTCATTACCCATTCAACCCGTCTCCAGCCATTATTAGTCTCAAAGTGGGTTCCTCGTCATCGAAGATGAATTCAGTTTTAGGTTATTTAAAGAATAAGGAATATTAATATAAAAGTTGTTAGGGCTATTTCACTGTATTTAGCCACTATTAACTAATACAAGTTTTGTTTTGATTTTGACTTGCCGGGGAAGTTAAATATCATAGAAACAGAAAGTGACAAACTGATGTCTAACCTGGAAAAGTGTCTTTAATTTTATAATTTCACCAAAACTATTTAATCAGTAAATTTTTCACCTCATTCAGGACGTTTGCCTTAAACCCTGTTGGTGTATTAAGTGTTTGCATGTGATAGAATATTTTCAGGACAAACCATTTACAGTGGCTTTTTTTTTGCTGTGGACTTCATGTTATAAATCGAGGACTGAGAAAACTTATCAATTTCAGTAGTGTACACTTACCTGACATAGCACGATGTGGTTAGTACAAACCACTAACAGTGTGCATTCAACTTTCTGGTTAATTTTTTCCTTGACTTTGTAATGCATGTCATTGCTGTCCCCTTTAGTAAGTTCGTATACTACTATTCTTTCAGGTAACTGAACCTAGATGGAGAAATTCAAATAGCAACCATAGTATTCAAGATCATGAAACCCAAGTTTTTCAAGGTAACTACTTTTCTCAGCTACTTCTGACTATTAAACTTAATATTAATCCTTCTCTGAAATAGGAAGCAACAAAAAGTGAGCTATACTTGAAGAACATTTGATGATTCTCATTATTATAGCCCACTGAAGATTTATAAACAGTGAAATAATCCATGCTGACTGTAAGAGCTACCCACAGAAATCTCCTTGCCTTTCTCATAGAAATTTCACTTCAAGTTTTAATCTTCCCTTGAGCTTCCCACACTAAATGTATTAGTAATATTGCTGGGAACCTTTGTCTGTAAAAACATGGAAATTCAAGTAGCAACCATAGTATTCAAGATCATGAAACCTAATATATAAACCTATAAAGTTTTTCAAGGTAACTACTTTTCTCAGCTACTTCTGACTATTAAACTTAATATTAATCCTTCTCTGAAATAGGAAGCAACAAAAAGTGAGCTATACTTGAAGAACATTTGATGATTCTCATTATTATACCCCACTGAAAATTTATAAACAGTGAAATAATCCATGCTGACTGTAAGAGCTACCCATAGAAATCTCCTTGCCTTTCTCATAGAAATTTCACTTCAAGTTTTAATCTTCCCTTGAGCTTCCCACACTAAATGTATTAGTAGCATTGCTGGGAACCTTTGTCTGTAAAAACAAGGAGGAAAAATGGGGTAAAATTCACCCACTAAAGAAAGTAGTACTAGGTATATTAAAATAATAAATAAATTACACAAAATGTCAAAATAGATACACAAACGTTTTTAATTCATGTCAATCTATGACCTCTAAAATGTTGAGTCTACATGTTTCAACATTTTTCATGTCATCACCACAAAAAATGTCAAAACATGTAGAGTCAACATTTTAGAGGTCCTAAATTAGCCTGAATTAAAAACGTTTTTAATTATGTATCTATTTTGACATTGTGTGTTATTTATCTATTACTTTAACATTATACACAAGTGCCAGGAAAACAATATCTACTAGGTATATATATATATATTATAAACTTACTGTTCAAATTAGGCTTAATGATACATGTCCAATATCATTACATTATGATATGTTTCATACATACCCACATATACACCAGGTATTAAAAGAAACTTACTGATGAATACACAAAATGTAACTTTCTGATGAAAAATAGAATGTTTATGACAAGGAACTATTTACTGTCTTAAAAACAATGTTTTACAACAAAATTTTGGAACTTTCACAACCTTAAAAATGATACAAATACAAGTCATATTTTATGCATTTTTCATCCAAGGACTTTTGAAAAATTTGTATCAAGTGTCAAGCAATTTAGTAAGAATAAACACAAAGAAACAAATGGGATGTCAGTAATAGCTCACCAGTCCAGAATAGACTCAATCAATTAATGATTTGATTAAAATTATCAATAGTCATACATATATGTTCTATGATGCCAATAAATTTTTAAAAAATGTTAATATTTAAAGAAATTGAGTACTTAGAGCAAGTCGATGATTATAAACAGCCAAATTTTTCACTAAGTCTCAACAGTTAATCCTCATTAAAAAATGTTAATGGTTAAAGAAACGGGGTACTTACAGCAAGTCGATGTTTATAAACAGCCAACTTCTTCACTAAGTCTCGACACTTAATCCTCACTGTGAGAAACATACAATAAATCAAATACAAATATTTTTGTTTGTGATAATTCATCACACTTTAAAAACTTTTATTAAAACATTTTGGGATTAGGTCCCAATGAGTACAGTCGAACCTACTTTTGTCAGGACTAGAATCCAATAATTAAATGCAAATGTAGTTTTAAAGTCAGGGCTTCAATAAGTAAAGTGTAAAACAAAGATTTTTAGGATTAGGTACTGTTTATTAAATGGATATTTACTTCTATAATTATCCGCAACTTTCTCTGTACCTTCACGATACACACGTTTTTGAATATTTCTTCTTTCCTGTAACAACCACAATCCCAACTACTTTGTGGTGTGCTGGTATTTTTGTAAGCCAAGAATTTATATATCTAGGGGGGGAACAAAATGAAACACCACTAAAATCATCACACACATATATTCTCAATTACAAAACATTTATATGTCTTATTTTTTAACCTAATGTTTCAAACTATATTATTTCTAAATTTCTTACTACTGTTTTATTCTTATGTTCTACACATTGGAAGTGTATGTAAGAATGATGAAACATACCGTATGTTCAGAAAATTGACGTGTATATCAGGGTTGTCATTATATTTTTAAAGCAGATAATCAATACACAAGTCCTGACCCCTGTAGGGGGGTTCTGGAGGAGTATGTCCAAAATAATTTGTAAATATTAACACTGCAGAGAGCATTTTCCAGCTATCTTAAGTTTAAAACTTATGAACATTTTATCAATATAATTACAACTATAAAGTACAGTTTAAGAACTCGTATTCAAAATAAATATCAACCTTGCTCTAGATTGGCAACAATAATTGATACAGACAAGTCACTATTAAAGAAACAGAATGTTAACAACATGGATTAATCAGAAGAACAAGCTTGACCTGTCAAAACTAGTCTGTCTTTTTATGTTTTACTAATTCTTTAATTTTTCATGCACTAATATAGTATTGATGTGTTGTTTTGTCTTTTTACAACCCCTGAAAAAAACACTTACTCAAATAAAAAGAAAAACTTTGAAACAAGCCATTAAACTAACTCTTCAATGATCACATGTAACTGAACAAAGCACTAATGAAATCTTTGTCATTTAAAACTCTGAAAGTATACTTCACTTTAAAAACAAGTGATAAAGCCTTGCATCTTTCTCCCAAATACAGTGCTTTGGTTGAAGATAACAAATTTTCTTATGTGTTACAAATTAAATAATATTAATTAAACGTATTACTTAAACTTGCCATAGGAAAACAAGTCAACTTGTACCTCATTGATTGCTCAACATACATCACCATACCAACCAACCTAACAGAGCAACAGTTGACATTTATACTCTAACCAAGACGGCTCATATTGTTGTGCAACATTAACAATATTGTATATCTCACAGCTTTTCATTGTTTTTAATTTTAAGTCTATTGCTACAATTCCAACAGAGAAACTTTCAAACCATGTAAGTCAGCATCACAGTTTTTAAATAATTTTATTCATTTTAGACCAGAAAGAAAAGCTGACAAGAACACAAACAGATAAAATAATGTTAATAACACATATTACAATACTGTATTTATAGTCATGGTTGTCCCTTAAAAGCAAACAAAAATATTTAGTAAAAGGGCCCAAGATGTCACTCAAAATATCCCGACTAAGACTGATCACTGTACAATCAGGTATAAGCTGGCTGTCTTTAATGGAAAGTTCTTGACTATTTAATGCACGATGATTAGGTATATGACAAACAACCTATTACAGTGTTTCCATTTGGAGTTACATTTCTCATATATCTTTCATTTTATTAATGAATTTTAAGAAATAACTGATGAAAAACTCAGGCTAGAAACATTGTTAATTACTTTGGAGGGGTGTATGCTGAAGATGGAATTAGGAAAAAAATAACAGACTAGGAAAATATATATATATATATATATTAAAGATATTTTTGGACAACTTCAAAATACAGATGTTTTCTAAATAGATAAATATCCTTACCTCTTTCTTCAATATTTCATGTCCATTTTTTAAAAAGAACAATATTTTTATCTCTTTCATTGAGAATTTATACCCATTCTTAATTACACGGTATAAGATTCTACCTTTTTCGTCAACATTTGACACCTTATTTTTTAATAATGCAGAATAATATTCTTACCCTTCTCTTCTGTAATCAGATGCTGGATGATCACGTCGCTCATATTTTCTCTATATGCATAACGTTCCTTGTACAAGCTGTGAACAGTTGAGAATCCTAGTTCATAATATGCTATTGTTCCATCCTGGCATCCAACTGCCTGTAAGAGATCATGTAAACTGGCACAACTGACTCTTATATTTTACTACTAGAGGATCTTCTATACTCCATCTACTATAGTACGTTTATTTGTTGTTAAGCCTAAAACTACACAATGGTCTATCAATGCTGTGCCGACCTCAAGTGTCAAAACCTGATCTTTATTGTCACTGAGGCCTAGTAAGTTAGATTACTACAGGCTATTATTAACTAATAATATCCATATACGATCATTATAGATTAAGCTTACACGTTAAACTAATTTCACCATAAATTTCAAAACAAACATAAATGAACAATTTTGTTATAAATGTTTATAAAGTTATTACACAGAACATAAAAAATATTTTCTTACAACTTGGTTTGAGTCTGGTCGAGGCTTACAGCACCATACCCATGACTCTTGTTCTGCTACAATCCCAACCAGGACGCCCTCTTTAGTGTATAACACTGCTTCCTTGTTCGATCCACTGATGATCATGTAGTCTCCATGAGAAAAGAAATTGACACAAACTGGATCAAAACCCAAATGACGTTCTTTTCCTACCTAGAATAGAAAAACATGAGGATGCATAACTGCTGGTCTACCTATGTTCTTTCATGTTTTATACCTGCTCCACGTGAAATCCATCAACCTAGGTGTAGTTTTACAGGCATCTATGTCAATCATCAAATGCAGTGAGAAACATGCAATTTGAATTATACTATATCTTTGAAATAATTAAAACTTACAAGTGTAGATGATCATATGGTCTATAACAAAGACCTGATGGTCCCTACTGCCATATGTCTAGCAGCTTTAGATGTAGAACGTGTGAAAGATAATAGACCTTTACAGCTAATCAAGAAGTTCAATACGGTAGTGTCCAGTGATTCGGGAGCTCAAAGTGCAAAATGGGATTATGTAATGTTTTGTTGGAAGAAATTCATGGAAATAATAACTAAGGTAATAATAAGTTCTCCTACATGTCTAAATATGCGAGTCCAGTGACTGTTTTCTCTCAGTTTATTTGTTTGTTTTGAATTTCACGCAAAGCTACACAAGGGCTATCTATGCTAGCCATTCCTAATTTAGCAGGCTCAGACTAGAGGGAAGGCAACTAGTCATCACCACCCACTGCCAACTCTTGGGCCCCTCTATGATGATCCATCTAGTCAAGAAATACATGGTACACATCATGAGTTTAACCTTGTTGTCTTATTCAAACAGATGTTACATGCTAATACAACTGAGGAATACATCATAATGATCCATCTGGTCAAGAAATGTGGTATCTATCATGAGTTTAACCTTGTTGTCTTATTCAAACAGATGTTACATGCTAATACAACTGAGGAATACATCATAATGATCCATCTGGTCAAGAAATGTGGTATCCATCATGAGTTTAACTTTGCTCATGATGTGTACTATGTATTTCTTGACCTGATGGATCATTATGATGTATTCATCAGTTGCATTAGTTTGTAACATCTGTTTGAATAAGACAACTTGTAACATCTGTTTGAATAAGACAATAAGGTTAAACTCATGATGTGTACCATGTGTTTCTTGACCAGATGGATCATTATGATGTATTCATCAGTTGCATTAGTTTGTAACATCTGTTTGAATAAGACAACAAAGTTAAACTAATGCAACTGAGGAATACATCATAATGACCCATCTGGTCAAGAAATGTGGTATCCATCATGAGTTTAACCTAGTTGTCTTATTCAAACAACTTTTACATTCTTTCTGCAAAAAACGTTCCTTTTTTTGACAAAATCCCGAATCAAGATGTAGGCCAAAACTGGTGAGACGGAATAAAATTTTTGAATGAACACACGCTTTACCTCAAGTTTCTACCTTTCTCTGATTGAGTTATTTTATCTTAAAACATGTACAACAATGTGTAGACACCTTGTGTAATGTCAGTACATATACACATATATACGCACAACGTTTACAAAATTATTACTTCAGTATCAATAGTATCATTTCTATACTTACTTGTTTTCCAGCAAGATTATAAAATGACAATGTTCTGCTCCAGTCAACCACTGCCAAGACATCACCCCAAACATCAGCTTCATCTTCTCTGAAACAACATAATACTTGATAGGAAAAACAATAACAGATTAAAACCACAAATTCTAACTATAATTATGAAAATAGAAAAAGATATTGAAACTCGGCGAGACAGATCCTAGCAAATACGAGCTTGTTTTTATAAAACATAATAAAAATATTAGTAAATTTATTATAAAAAAGCATTACTCATTCATTGTGTACCTACTTACCTTACAGGATTAAAGCACACACCCCATACAGGTGATAAGTTTCCTTTTGGTCTTTCTATACGATGTTTCTCTTCTCCAGTCTACCACAAAAAAAAAAAATATAATAATAATCCATGCATCTACTAGACAAATATCTTGCTTTTTAAGACTATACTATGTAATTTTCACCATTGAACATTTATAAGTTACCCTTTTGTATTTTCCACAGTATTCGCAAGCTATCAAGATTAGTTTCATTAAATGTGATAAAAGTATCTAAATATCGCACTTAATTATTCTCACCTTTAATTCGTAGTTACTTTGTTGTGTTTCTCTTCTGATTAATTTAGATGCGTTTATTATTCTCACCTTTAATTCGTAGTTACTTTGTTGTGTTTCTCTTCTGATTAATTTACATGCGTTTATTATTCTCGCGTTTAGTTCGTAGTTACTTTGTTGTGTTTCTCTTCTGATTAATTTAGATGCGTTTATTATTCTCGCATTTAGTTCGTAGTTACTTTGTTGTGTTTCTCTTCTGATTAATTTAGATGCGTTTATTATTCTCGCGTTTAGTTCGTAGTTACTTTGTTGTGTTCCTCTTCTGATAATGTTACATTCGTTTATTATTCTC